CCTTTTCTGATCCCTAATCACTCAGAATTCTCTAGCGTTTGTACCCCAGAGAGGCCCCGTGTGCAGGGCATGCATCAGGAGCAGGCGAAAGTCCAGCTGCTCGTTATTCCACAGGATACTGTGCTCCGAGGCACAGGGGCTCCCTGAACTCTCGAACTCCAACCTGGGCTGCCCTCGTTTGTTTTTGTTGGCTTGTTTTGCTTTGTTTTGTCTGGAGGGCCCCACTCTGTGGTACTCAGGGACTATTCCTGGCTCTGCACTCGGGAATCACTCCTGGCAGAGCTCGGGGCCCACATGGGATGCCAGGGATTGATCCAGGGTCAATTGAGTCCAAAATAACCTTTCCAGAAGAGTGCTTCAGATTTGAGGGGAGAATTGGAAAAGCACTGGATAACACTGCATTGTCCTTGCCTCTCCCACAGGCTTAGGTTTATCAAGTTACTCCCACAACAGTGCTCCTGAGACATACCCAATTCCATCAGGCACTAATCATCCTACATTTCTTCTCTTTGCTTTATGTTTTTCGCCTGGTTCAGCAACAGCCTTTTTGTATAGACACAGGAAGACAGTTGGTGCTATGCCTTTGTAACATGGGAGTTAACTCAATGCCTCTTTTGCTGATCACAACACCCAGGAGGAGAGAGAGAACAAAAGGGAATGCCCTGCCACAGTGGCAGGGGGGGATGGGCGGATGGGAGGATGGGGGGGGAGGGATATTATCCTGGTGGTGGAAAATGGGCACTGGTGGAGGGATGGGTATTTGATCGTGGTATGACCGAGATCCAAGCACAAAAATTTGTAAATCTACAACTGTACCTCATGGTGTTTCACTAATAATAAAAAAAAAAAAAACATGGGAGTTAACTGACATGCAAGGCAAGTGTACTATTGCTCCTACCCCAAACCCGGACTGGCAGTCTATCCTAAATGTCTGGAGAAGTTTCTGCCAATAGTTCCTAACTATTGATTCAACTGGAGTATCTGATACAATTGTTCCCCCGATGGGCTGGGAGTGGGGACTGGGGGCCATCACGCTGCCAGCGTCCAGGACTGCTTTGGGGCACGAGGCCAGCACATCAAATCAAGTTGCAGTCCAAGGGAGAGGGCAGTAGCTTTGTGGCTTTGCAAACTGCTCCTGTCTGCTGTCTTTCTCATGGGGCAATCAGTGGCTATCTGTCCCTTGCCTAAGATGGATGTCTGCCCCTGCCTAAGATGGGACTGTCACTTTGCCCGAGACTGTCGCCCTCCTGACACACGATGCTCAGTCCAGACACATGAGACAAGAGCATGGGAGCCGCAGTCCTTTTGGCACTTCCGGAAGGATTGGGGGCGGGGAGGGCTATTGAGGTCCATGGCTATTTTGCTGCTCCTGGAGAGAGATCACAGTGGAAAGCAGAAACAAAAGACAGTAGTGCGGGCAGAGAAAAATTAAGGTGTATGTCTTGCACGGGGCCAGCCCCAGTTTGATCTATTCCACCCAGTCCGCTGAGCATCACTGGGTGTGGGCAACCCTGGAACCTCCCAGCACTGCCAGGAAGTAGTGAACTCCCTGCCAGAAGATAGTGAACCCCCACAATGAACTGCTCCTTATTCTCCACCAAGAGTCCAAAATCAGGATAAAGTGAGGCAGATGTCTCTTAAAACTTACTTTATAGGGTCAGGGTGATAGCTCAAAGCATTGGATCATGTGCCTTGTATGCTGGGGCCCCAAGTTTGATCCAGTAATTGCATGTTCCCTTGAAAATTGCTAGGAACAGAGTCAGACCAATAGTGCAGTGGGTAGGGCATTGCCTTACACACAGCTGACCCGAATTCAATTCCTGGTTTCCCATATGGTCCCTGGAGCACACCAGGAGTAATTCCCGAGTGTGGAGCTAGGAGGAATCCCCCAACACTGCTGAGGGTGGCACAAAAACAACAGAAAACCTGCTAGGAGTGACCCCCCAAGCACCAACTGGGAGAAGGCCCCAACCACTGGCCAGTGGTCCCAAAACCCAAGGAAGCAAACAAAAAACATACTTTAGGGCAAGAAAGATAGTACAGGACTTAAGGTGCTTGCGCTGCACAAGTTCAACTCTGGTTCAATACCCAATGTCACATATGGTCTCTCAAGCACCACTAGGAGTGACCATTAGGAGTGACCCCTGAGTAAAGAGCCAGGAGTAAGTCCTGAGCACCACCAGGTATGGCCAAAAAAAAAAAAATCAAAACAGCTTAACTCTGTAAGTTAACGTATAGATTCAAAATTTTGCAATGTGCTTTAGAAAGTTCAAAGAGCACCTACGGGTCTTAGAAAAAAGACCTGGGGGCCAGAGAGTTAGTACAGTGGGTCAGACTCACTTGCCTTGCATGCAGCTGACCTGGGTCCAGTCCCCAGCCCCCCATGTGGCGCCCTGAGCCTGAGGGAGTGTTGTAAACTTGTTCTCCCGGCTCTCCGAGCAGGCAGCCACACACTGTCTTAGGTTCCCCTCAGCTCAGCCTGTCACATTGCATCTGCTCTCTTGAAGCAACCACTTCAGTATAAATCATCCTTCTTAGCTGAAGTTGAAACAACTATTCATATTCATCTGCTTTCTTTTCATAAGAGTTTCCTTGCCAAGGAGGGAATCTGGGGACACTGGTGGGGGGAAATGTACACAGATGACAGGAAGGGGGTTGGAGTATTGACTGAAACCATATCGTGAACAACTTTGTAACTGTTTATCTCACGGTGATTTAATTTTAAAAAATTAAAAAATGTTTCAGGGCTGGAGCAATAGTATAGCAGGTAGGACGTTATCCTTGCACATAGCAGACCCGGGTTCAATCCCCGGCATCCCATATGGTCCCCCAAGCACTGGCAGGAGTAATTCCTGAGTGCAGAGCCAGGAGTAACCTCTGAGCATCACTGGGTGTGTCCCAAAATGCAAAATGCAAAATAAATAATTAATTAATTAATAATTAATAATTAATTAATTAATTAATTTGAAAAATAACTCTAAAGTGTATTTATAAAAAATAACTCTAAAGTGTATTTATAAAAAATAATAATAATAGGGATTATAATTTTTAATATATATTTTAATATATATAATTTTTATAATAATAGGGATTATAATAGGGATTAATAATTTTTATGATATAATATTATAATAATATTATAATAATTATTATAATAATAGGGATTAATAATTTTTATAATAATAGGGATTATAATTGTTAACATATATAATTTATAATATATATAATTTTTTATATTTTATAAAAAATAATAATAGGGAGAGAACGTCGAAGAAATAGCTAAGAGGACAAAGAACCTCCGGCTCCGGGCACATCTCTTTGATTCCACTGTTCTTCCTGCATTAACATATGCCTCAAGAGACCTGGGCCCTACGCAAACAAGATGAGAACGCTATTCAGGTCTCCCAAAGAAGAATAGAAAGAGCTATGCTTGGAATATCACGTTTCACTCAAATGACAGAACGAATCCGGAGTTCTGACATCCGTCGACGATCAAGGATCAGGGACGCTGTCTCATTTGCCAAGGTGTCGAAAATCAGATGGGCTGGTCACGTAATGAGATTTAAAGACGACCGTTGGACTAGAGCTGTTACTGATTGGATTCCACGGGATGTCAAGAGACCGCGTGGCCGCCCACCTACCAGATGGTCAGACTTCTTCATCAAGATCATGAACGATCGGTTTGAGGCCCTTCATGTTCCCGGAGCGAACAGATGCCATTGGGCTACACTAGCACGTGACAGGGACAAATGGAGACGTTACTGGCGCCCGCTCGAGCAAATCGACGACTAACGGGAAGTTAAGTGATTAAGTGATTAATAGGGAGTGGAGCAATAGCACAGTGGTTAGGGCGTTTGCCTTGCACATGGCTGACCCGGGTTCGATTCCCAGCATCCCACAAGGTCCCTGGAGCACTGCCAGGAGTAATTCCTGAGTGCAGAGCCAGGAGTAAACCCTGAGCTTCACCGGGTGTTACCAAAAAGCAAAAAAAAACCGAAAGAACCCCCAAAATAATATAATAATAGTAATAATAATAAATAAAAAATAAACTTCCTTGCCTGGCTTTGATAGGCAGGATAAGAAAGGAATGTCACTAACAGAGGAAATACTGTTTGAAATGAATTACAGACTGGACTTGAACCCTCACCCCAATCAAGAACCCCAATCTTTGGACAGAGAATACAGGGTTAAAGCACTCTCCCTGCATGGGACCAAGCCCAGATCAATCCCAGGCCTGTATATGGTTCTCTGAATATGTTCAGGAAGGGAACCCTGAGCACAACCAGGCATTTTCCTGAGCACCAGCAGTAAAGAGGGGAAAATAAAAAACCCAGCCTGTAAATTCCTCAAAGGTGCTTAAATTGCTTTACTATGATACAGCAGCACAAAGCTAAATCCTCCAACAAACCTTTTGATTCCAAATTAACCCACCCCAAGCAATAGTAGACCAGGTAGGGCGTTTGCCTTGCACGCGGTCACCAAGGGTTCGATCCACAGCATCCCATATGGTCCACTGAGTACCGCCAGGAGCAATTCCTGAGTGCAGAGCCAGTAGTAACCCCTGTGCATCGCTGGGTGTGACCACTCCCCCCCAAAAAAAAATTAACCCATCCCACTCAAGGCAGAAGGGAATTCCAAACCCAGTGCTCGCATGGTCTAGTTTGCTCACTCCTGACCCTTCTCAGAATGGAGGGAACTAGCCACTCTGGCTTCCGGTGAGGCCCCATCTCCACTGCACACGTGCCTCCTGTACTGCTGTGTGCTGATCTTTGCAGCAGGGACTGCAAACCCTGACTGGAACATGCGCAGACCAGCAGTACGTGCGGTGGTTCCTGGAGCGGAGTGCTGCGTCTCCTAGCAACAGACAGGGGAGTTGCAGATTGGGTGGATGCTCTCGGATGTTCTTGGATTCCATAGACAGTGTTTAAAGCCTCTGATCAGGCTGCCTGGGAGCCAGCGGGACAAGGATTATCTTCCATGAAGCCACCTTTGTGCTCAGGCATAAGACTCCAGGAGCACTCTGTCTGGGAACATATCCGTGGCTGGCTGTCAAGCTGCATGACACACTGAGGCAAAGAACCTGGGAAATGTAACAATTTTTCATCACAAATGTAATGCATAGGGCTGAAGCAATAGTACAGCAGGTAGGGCGTATGCCCTGCACACAGCCGACCTTGGTTTAATCCCCAGTATCCCATATGGTCCCTCAAGCACCACCAGGGGAGATTCCTGAGTACAGAGCCAGGAGTAACTCCTGAAGCATCTCTAGATATGGACCCCAAACAGCAACAACAACAAATGTGATGTATACGCTTTTGGTTTACTTCTTCAAGCAGTACACCCTGTACCTTGAGAGGACTCCATCCATGTGTAATACAATGCTAAATTTGGGGTAAACAGAGGAATGTCCCCAAAAAGGAAAAAAAAACAATCGGGGCTAGAGTGATAGTACAGCAGGTAGGGCGTTTGTCTTGCATGCGGCTGACCGGGTTCGATTCCCAGTATCCCATATGGTCCCCTGAGCACCGCCAGGAGTAATTCTTGAGTGCAGAGCCAGGAGTAACCCCTGAACATTGCTGGATGTGACCCAAAAAGAAAAAAAAAAAGGAATGTCAATTTTCTGGGAACTCTATCAACAATAGCTCACCTGGAAAAGAGGTTTCATGGGTCTATATAATTTATCTTGTGTGGGTTCCTTCTAACTCTTGTTATTAATCACATCGTTCTAAGAGTTATTATTCAAATCACTTAGTAGCCTGGGTGAAGAAATGAAAAGGTGTTCACTCTTCCAAACTGTCCCTCATTGCGTCTCCTATAGCATAGTCGTGGTTGTTCATTCTCTTTTTGCTGCTGTTGTTGCTGGGGGGAGGGGGGATGGGGTGTCACACCAGGTAGTTGGTAGATCTTATTCCTGGCTCTGCATTACTCCTGGTCTCCTGGTGGTGGGGAATCATATGAAGTGCCAGGGAGCAAGGCAGGCACTTGACCCACTGTACTCGCTCTCTGGTCCCCATTTCTCTTTTTTTAAATTAGGCCCTTTCTTCTCCCCACTCCCTGCTTCCCCTCCACACTGCAGTGACCAGACATCATCATCCACCTTTGGTGATGGTGCTCATCAGCTGTCGTGCACACCTGTGGCCCTCTAGAGATGGGCTTCCCTGTGGTACCATGTATCCCCAACAGCAGGGCCTCTCAGGGGTTATTCAGGTCTGTGGAACAGTGTTGGGGGTCAAAATCAAGGGCTCACAAGCCTCAGGCTTGCAAGGAAGGTGACTCTGCCACAGAACTATCCCCTGGCCCCGCTTCCTCTTATTGATTACAATTCCTTACAAAATAGTGTTCTTAAAATTTGTGTTTTGATTTTAATTCATTATGCTGGTGCCGCAATGTGTTCATTAAACTTCATTCAGGTCTGAGTCACCAGTGGCATGCACCAGTGTCAACATGTTAATATTAATATGCCAGGCTGGGGCGATGGTTCAGTGGTAGGGCATTAGCCTTGCACGTGGCTGGCCCAGGTTCAATCCCCAGCATCCCAGATGGTCTTCTGAGCACTGCCAGGAGTAAGCCCTGAGCACCACCAGCTGTGGTCCAAAAACAGTGAAACTGAAAGTTCACTGGAGGGCCTGAGAGATAGCATAGGGGTTAAGGTGCGGTCTTTCATCTAGTCTGAATCCCCCGGCACTATTTACAGTTCCCCAAGCACCAGCAGGAGTCACTCCTGAGTAACAGAACAGTCCCTGAGTACAGCTCAGTGGATCCAAAATATCCAAAAGTGAAAAAATAACTTTGGGCCAGAGTGATAGTACAGCAAGTCGGGTGTTTGCCTTGCACACAGTCGGCCCTGGTTCAACGCCTGGCATCAATATAGTCCCCCCCAAGCACCAAAAGGAGTAAGTCCTGAGCATCACCAGGTATGGCCTAAAAGTTGAAAATAAAAGTCAGTGAGCACTTTATTTGAACTGTGAATGTTTCCAAATTAAGGAACCTCGAGAAGGGTGTGGTGGGTGAGGTGCCAGAGACTGAACTCAAGGGGTCATGCATACAAGGCATGAGTGCCACCCCCCAGCTCTAAACTCACTTAGATGTTCTATAATTCCTAGTCCGAGACAACTTAAGTAGTAGAGCACATTCCTGGCATGTATGACACCTGGATTCACTGCCAGAGACCACATGCCTCTATTGGATATGGGCCTCAGCCCCTACCCCCTGCACATGGAAAGAGAAACAGAGGGGCCAGAGGTCTAGGACAGCGCCTAGGGCGCCTGCCTTGCATGTGTCTGATCCAGGTTTGGTCCCCAGCATTCCATATGGGTCCCCCAAGTCCCCACGAGGGATGCCTGAGTGCAGAGCCAGGAGTAAGTTAAGCACGACTCCTAGGTGTGGCTCCCCCCCCCCAAAAAAAAAGGGAAAAAGAAAAATATAGTGCATTGGCTCGGCCTGGGCTTCAGGGAGATCTCTGCCTTAGTTCAGTAATTCAAGATGCTTCTAGCTGTACTGGTCTTCAGACTGACAGTTCGTACTGTTAACATCCTGTTTGGAAGAAATGCAGTCCGTGCCACTGACCTGGGGGTCATGATGCAAGTGATCTCTAATAGGATGAGTGGTGCTGCTTTCCTCAAGAAGCTCATCTTGCTCAAGTCCTCATCTTTTAGATCAAATTACTAGGAGCCTGTCAGGAAGGGCTTCCAGCTCTCTGGAACCCACTGAGAATTTCTAAGGGGGGGGGGGGGGGGAGTGGAGGGAGAGCTGAGTTGAAATAAAAATCCTGACCTGCAGCCTTTAAGGAAAGCGGAAGATAGTCCAGCAGGTAGGACACTGGCCTTGCACAGCTGGCCAGGAGTAATTTATGAGTGCAGAGTCAAGAGTTACTCTGAGCATTGGTGGGTGTAGAAAAAAACAAACAGAAAGCATCCTGGAGACAGTCAGTTGGTGCCTGAGATCTCAATGAACAGAGAGGATCCTTCCCTCCCAAAGAGAACTTCTCAAGTTGGAATCCCGATACCAAGAGGATACAGAAGCACGTAAAAGATAATAGATCCCCTATTAACAGGAATAAACTGTACCTATACATAATTCTGGAGAGCCAAGTCTTCATGGGTTGCATATATTTTTTAATCTACCCCATGGAAAAATCTTCATCATTCTGTGGAAGTCTGAGCTGGGGTTACTTGGAGAGAGGCAGGCCAGTTCGGACCCAGTCCTGACTCCCGGATATCCAGTGACTGGCTGCCAGTGCCAGGCTCCATGCCATGCCCCTGAATGTACAAATTCTTAATAACTATGCTAAGCATGCTCTGGTGTGGTCCATGGAAAGATCATTGGTAGGTAGATCAGAGACGGGTCCAGAAAAGGAAAATATCCATCTGTGCCCCAAGCCTAAGGCTAGCTACACTCATTCCAAGCCCCAGACCAAGTCTTTGAGAGAGAGCTCTGGGCGGAAGAGATGGGAGCTATGGAAAGAAATGGTCAGTAAGTCCAGGTCATCTCCAAAGAGCCTGGGGACAGAGCAACCTCCAACACACATGGGAATACAGTCATCCTTCCTTGTTTACCTGGTCCAGACTCTGCAGAAGATAGGCCTGAACCTTAGCCCAGAAAGCCAACCAGGAAGTATAGGCAGCCCAATCTCAACATTCAAATACTTTTATTTGGGGGGCACTGGGGGGGTTGTCTGTTTCTGGGCAACAGTCAGCAGTACTCAGGGGATATTTCTGACTCAGTTCTGGGGGGGCCCTCTTGGCAGTTCTTGGGGGACAATTTGATTGCAGGGGTGGAACTGGGCCTCTAGCATCAAGTACTCAGTCTACTGAATTTTATCTCCAGCACCCTCTGTCACTTTTAATATTGTGGCTCTCCAACTTTAGTGTAAATAAAATTCCTGGGTCCAGGAGACTGTGAATCAGTAATTCTAGTTGGTTTTCTAGACCAGTTTTTACTTTTTTTGGAGGATGGGGTGCATTTTTAGGGCCACCCCAGGTGATGCTCAGGAGTTACTCCTGACTCTGCACTCAGGAATCACTCCTGGAGATGCTCAGGGAACCATATGGGATGCTGGGGATCGAACCCAGGTCAGCCGTGTGCAGGGCAAATACCCTACCCACTGTACTATATAGTTCTGGCCCCGGTGTTTACATTTTAAAAAAAGAAAATTTGATGGAGTTCATGCCCAATTCAATCAGTCTAATCAATGGCTGAATAAATAGCAATACTCCTACATTTTAAAAAAAAAAAAGAAAATTTGGTTCTAACCTTAGGAATTGGGGCCTGAGGGGGAAAAAATAGTAAAGTTTGCTCTAAACTATGGAAAGGACATAAAGGAAAGAGAAAAGTCATGTTTCACTTACATATACAAAATCCAGAGTCCTCAGAAGACTTGACTTATTGGTTTCAGGGTCTGATTTGGGGATATTTGTGATTAACTGATAGGGGAAGAAGTGCACAAAGTAGAGATTAGAGATAAAGAATTAGGATTAGAGGGCTGGAGCAATAGCACAGCGGTAGGGCGTCGGCCTTGCACACAGCTGACCCAACCCGGGTTCAATTCCCAGCATCCCATATGGTTCCCTGAGCACCGCCAGTAGTGATTCCTGAGTGCAGAACCAGGAGAAAGCCCTGTGCAACGCCACGTGTGGCCCAAAAAGGAAAAAAAAAAAGAATTAGGAATAGAGACAGAATACTAGGAGGAGTGCCTGATGGAACTGGGTGTGCCTTAGGAGCACTGTGATGGGAGTAACTCAAATAAACCTAAAGCTCCTTTGAGAGGAGCAAGGACAAATCAACGTCACTTCTTAAAATGCTTAGAACTGTAATCCAATAGGAAAGTACCCCATGAACCCCTACAGGAGAGAAAGGCGATGACAGAGCAGGCCTGTAGGCCCAGGGTAGAGCCGGACAGGTATTGGAGGTAGCTGAGCTGATTAAAAAGGACCATATTCCTAGTGTGCTGAAGGAGCCGTGGACTGAAACGAGAAGTGTTAGGCCAGAGCACACGAACAAAGGGGTCTTAAAGGGACCGACAGTCAGAGACATCAGTGTTCTGCCACGGAAAGCCTTTGCCCCGTAGACGCCCAGAGTCTCCGGGGAGCATCCGGCTGCAGCTGCCTGTAAGTAACAGGACACTACATTTATAGTGCTCAACTGAGAGGGCAAGTAATGGGTTTAAACCAAGACCAGCACCAAGTCCAACTCGGAAGCCCAGGATCCTTTATAGACTATTGGTTCTCATCTTTAAATGGGGATTAACCTACCCTCAGAGCTACATGCAGTGAGAAGTAAATGAGACGAGTTAAATAAAGTATGTAACATAATACCAGACTCATAGGAGTTGGACAAATGCTAGCTGCTATAAACATTAATTACTGCTAATTGTTAGTATACTCACGCTCAACCATAAACCACTCGAGCATCTTGTTGATTTGTAAAGACACTGAGGTCAACTGAGGTCTCTGTGGGTTAAGTTCTTGTAGCCCTAGGAAAGCGACTGTTAAGGATATTGGTTTTAGGCCAGAGAAATAGTACAGAAGGCAGAGAGTTTGCCTTGCATCTGGCGAACTGGGGTTCTATCCTGGCCATCCCAAGTGGCCCTCTTGAGGACAGCCAGGAGTGATCCCTGAGCACAGAATCAGAAGTAACCCCTCAGCACTGCTGGGCGTGGCCCAAAAATCAAAACTAAATGTGGTGTTTTTTTTACTTGACAGAAAATCAGATCATCTAACCCCAAAATTCAATAATTTTGTTACAGCAATGTTTTACATTTCCCTTCATTCCCTGACTTGATGTTACTGTTCTGTCCAAATTTGTTCTGAGGGAAAAAAAATTATACCACTGAACAACTACCTTTTCGTGCATAAAACTGATTTCATGATTTACTTTAACTCCTGAAAGTTTCCATAAACAAATAACTTTATTTTCAGATAAAATATTCATGCAGTCCAGCAAAAAGTAATCTGAAGTTGAACCATGGTAGGAATACGTCTGGTCAGTATTTCCCTAACAGTCCAGGAACCCCTGATATTAAAATAAAACCCCAGGGCTAGAAAGATCTTAGGTGGGGAAAAGGTGCCTGCATTGCTTGCAGCACCATATACTCACTGTAGTACTGCCAGGCGTGATCCCTGAGCAGAGTCAGGCATTATCCCTGAGTAGAGCCAGGTGGGATCCCCAAAAAACAAACACAACAACAGAAAAATCAAAATACCATCTGCAGATATAAGATGAGGCAGTGCTAGCTCTTTGGAGCTGGAGAAATAAACCCCCAGCCCCTCTACAAAGGGGGCCAGAGCAATAGTATAGCTGGGAAGGCGCCTGCCTTGCAGGTAATCATGAAGGTTGATCCTCAGCACTGCCTATGGTCCCTGATCCCCACCAGGAGTGATCCCTGAGCATGGTACCGGGAGTAAGGCCTGAGCACTGCCAGCTGCAGCCTAACAAAACAAACAAAAAACTCTACCAACCCCCTCACCCCCCCAAAAAAAACCTCTCCCTGCAAAAAAGTAGAAGAGGAAGAATAAAACTCTGTCACTTCACCCCCACATCTCACCAGTGTGCTCAGTTTGCTAATGAGACAGACTTTCTGAGAAAAAAAGAACATGGGTGGTTTTCTTAGCACTAAAGTGGATTTTTCCGCACTTGCGGGTTCTTAAGAATGTATGAAAGATATGCATACAAAGCTCAGATGCTTAACTTAAAATTTAGGGGCTAGAGAGAGAACAGGAAAGATCTTTGCCTTGCACACAGCTGAAACTGATTCAATCCCTGGCACCCTATATGGTGCCAAGACCTCCAAGAGTGATCCCTGAGCACATAGTCAGGAGTAAACCCCAACCACACTACTAAGCATGCCCTGCAAACTTTTTTCCATCTTCCACATGTACAAAATCATTTGTCTCCTCTCTCCCCTTGCCCCCTCCCTCTCATCCAGGAAGATAAATGTAAAGACAGAAATACAAGCCAGGATTTAGTTAAGTGGTACAGTTCAAGTTTTGCATGCATGAGGTCCGAGTTAAATCCCTGATCTCTCTCTCTCTCTCTCTCTCTCTCTCTCTCTCTCTCTCTCTCTCTCTCTCTCTCTCTCACACACACACACACACATACACACACACACACACACGAAGGAACATATAATCAGCCTCTGGTTTTCATATTGGAACATAGTGCTATTCATGTCCCAGCCATCCTCATCAGAAAACACATCCGTAACAAACCCTAATACCAAACCTATTTTGAACTACCCCAGTCACAAATAGGACAAGCTTTGATTTATTGGGGGTGAGGGGTGCAGTCTGGGCCATACCTGATGCTGCTCTGGAGAACATATGTGGTGTCAGGGGTTGAATCAAGGTTCGCCACATGCAAGGCAAGTGCCCTCACTTGCCTTGCAAGGATGTACTCTCTCTCCAGCCCCCAAAGCTGTGCATTTTAATTCGAGAAATGAAAGGTCCACCCACAATGCAGGACAGGTGCCCAGCTCTGGATAGCCAGCCACAGTTTGTGCAGTAGACCACGCTCCACAGAATCACTTCGACCAGTGCTTCTTGAGATGCTCTTTCAGATGAGGCATGGAAGGCAGCAGCTGCTGGCACTCGTGACAACGGAGGGGCAGTTTCAAGAGCTCAGGCATCCCGTCTCGGACTGTCACTCTGCCAGATTCCTGTATCATCTCCACCACAGCTGCAGGCAAGGACAGAAGCTGACTTACTCTAGAAAGTCAATCTGATAGGAAGGAAAGGGGAGGGAGGGAGGGAGGGAGGGAGGGAGGGAGGGAACTTCAATATGATACAAAGGAAAGGAAAGGAAAGGAAAGGAAAGGAAAGGAAAGGAAAGGAAAGGAAAGGAAAGGAAAGGAAAGGAAAGGAAAGGAAAGAAAAAGAAAGGGAGGGGCTGGAGCAATAGCACAGCGGGTAGGGCGTTTGCCTTGCACGTGGCCCAACCCGGGTTCGATTCCCAGCATCCCATATGGTCCCCCGAGCACAGCCAGGAGTAACTCCTGAGTGCAGAGCCAGGAATAACCCCTGTGCAATGCTGGGTGTGACCCAAAAAGCAAAAAAAAAAAAAAAAAAGGGAAAGGAAGGAAAAGAAAGAAAGAAAGAAAGAAAGAGAAAACCTGATTCCAAATGAAAATATGAAATATGCCAGGTGTCCTAAAGCTGGGCTGGAGCGATAGCACAGCGGTAGGGCGTTTACCTTGCACACGGCCCACCAGCCAAGCCAAGTTCGATTCCTCTGCCCCCTCAGAGAGCCTGGCAAGCCACTGAGAGTATCTCGCCCGCACAGCAAAAGCCTGGCAAGCTCCCTGTGATGTACTCGATATGCCAAACACAGTAACAACGAGTCTCATAATGGAGACGTTACTGGGCCCATTCAAGCTAATCAATGAACAACGGGAGGACAGTCCTAAAGCTAGTAAACTTCAGGTTAGACTCACTGTGAGGAAAATGGTCTTGATGAGATTCTCAATCTAGAAAACCTATTTCTGAGATGATGACATCCCTTCAGGTTTGTGCAAAACCGCTGTTCCTCGGCCCTGTTCCAACCATGTGCCCCCTCCAAACCTCGTTTCCTTTCTGCTGCCCCCTGACCTACCCGAGTCTCAGGCCGTGGTTTCCTATTTCACCTGTCACATCCTTGGGATACCTTGGGATCACATGCCCTCCAAAGGAGAAACAGCTGCTCTATATAATTCATGATAAAATGTCAAAGGTTTATTAACAGAGCTTTGCCCCTCAAAAACCCTCAGTCAGTGGGAGGGTCGCTGTCATCATTAACATCCCAGCACTGAAGCTGAACAATATAGACACTGGGAAATGCATCCTTCCATGCACACACGGGCTGGAGCGATAGCACAGCGGTAGGGCATTTGCCTTGCACGCAGCCAACATGGCCGACCCCGAGTTCGATTCCTCCGCCCCTCTCTGAGAGTCCAGCAAGCTACCGAGAGTATCTCACCCACACAGCAGAGCCTGGCAAGCTACCCGTGATGTATTCGATATGCCAAACACAGTAACAAGTCTCATGATGGAGACGTTACTGGGCCCGCTCAAGCAAATCGATGAACAACAGGAGGACTGTGACCATGACCATGCACACACACATAGCCTCCCTGTCTTTAAGGACCTTGACGGAAGACTTTCCCCAAGATCATGCCCTGATCATGTCAGATGAGAGGAAGAACTGCTCAGAGTTTAAATATCCAGAAACTCCAATAATTATCAGAACAGCCTTTCAATCCCTTGCTATTACAATCAAACACCCTTCTATTCTTTCTAGATGCCCTAGAAGGCTACTCACAGCAGTGGCAATCCACTAACAAGCCAAATAACCCAGCTTTTGGTCTTCATTTGGTTTTGTGGGTTTTTTAGGTGTGTGTGTGTGTGTGTGTGTGTGTGTGTGTGTGTGTGTGTGTATGTGTGTTCCTGAAATAGGGTTCTTTCTCATCAAGAAGAAAAAGCAGAACACAGGTTTTTGAGAAACATTATTTAAGGAAACAGACATAAAACTGAAGAACAACATTTACCTTGTGATTCTAGGAAGTATTCTGTATTGAAAGAATTCCAATGCTTTTTATTTTTAAGACAAGGAGAATCAAAATCCTGGCTGATTACGTGAAGGTGTACTTGGCTAGTAGAGAGGGAAGAAAATTGATCATTAAACTGATTATAAATTATAATTTAACCATTGTAACTAACAGAAGTATGGTCATGTACAAAATAGTGCTTTTATTTATTCATTCACTCAAGAACAGTGCACAATAATGATCTAGAAATGACTCAATAGTAGAGCAGATATCTCACACCTCTGAGGTCCTGGGTTCAATTCCTGACACTGAAGGGGAAAGAAATGAGGTCAGAGAGATAGTACAGCAGATAAGCATTTGCCTTGCGTACAGAAGACCTAGGTTCAATCCCTAGCATCCCATGTGGTCCTCTGAACACCAGGAGTGATTCCTGAGTACAGACTCTGGAGTAACTCCTGAACATTGCCAGGAGTGGCCCCCAAACAAACAAAAAGTACTCAAAAAATGCTGCTCAGCTCATGTCAAAAGCAGCACAGAAGCCAACCCAAAGGAGCTGCCAATGACCAAAGCTGGAACAAAGCAAATGTAAACAGACTGAACCAAAACCAGCAGATTAGGGGGCCGGGAAATCAAAGGAGCACACATTTTCTGTGCAGGAGCCCCAGATTAGATCGTAGCACAACATGGTTTCCCAGGCAAACGAGCAACATCCCTGAGCACCAAGGCCCTGAACACATGCAGGTATGCCCCTCGCTCATCGAAAAGAAAAAAATAAAGACCTACAGGCTACAGCTTTGCTCTTTCAAGCTCTGTTCTCTTTCTGTCTCCTTGTTCGCTTTTCCCCACTCTGGAGGAACCCTTGCTTCCTCTTAAAATATGTATCCCTCTCTTTACTCTCACACTTTTCTAAGGAAATTCCATTCAATTGAAAAAAAAAAAGACCTATAGACTAAAATAATTATGAGTCCACACTAGTAAATGATCGAACATATAGATAACAGGAGAGACAGCTCTTCCACACACAATTTCCAACTAATAAATTAGAAGGAATGAAGAAACATAAAATCTCTAGTGGTAAACACCACAGTCGTATTGCAGGTTAGGAGCACCGATGGATGCTAAAATCACTGAACTAAAGTTTGAGGAGAATCAGGAAAGTAGTATAATCTCAAACCATTCTCCCAAAGATATTTATCAATCACAAAGGGGAAATTCATATAGTACAGTAGAGAAACACAAGACACCACCACTTAGATAAAAGTGGATAAGGTTAATATCACAAGCAATAAACCATTTCAACACCAGGCAATCCTTGAGGCACTGAGAGCAATACAATAGCATTTCAGTGATATTTTAGGGAAAAAAAATCTAATCAGAACTTTTTTTGGGGGGGAGGGGTCACATCCAGCAATGCTCAGGGGTTACTCCTGGCTCTGCACTCAGGAATCACTTCTGGCGGTGCTAGGAGAACCATATGGGATGCTGGGAATCGAACCCAGGTAGGCTGTGTGCCAGGCAAATGCCTTACCCGCTGTGCTATCACTCCAGCCCCATAATCAGAACTTTAAAGTGCATGATGGACCCTGATCGAGAGACAAAGCAATGAAAACAGCAGCTCGCCAGAGATTTCTCCAGACCCTGTGTGGAGCCAACTTCTCCAGGGCCTCAGGTGGAGCAGGTGTTCTCTCTCTGCCCACTCCAAATGAGCCCCTGGTGGCCAAAAACTTCCAGAAGAAAACCCCAGGTACTCGGGACCAGGGACTGAAGACTCCAGACCACATGGGGGCGGGGACAGGCCGTCCCCTCCCATCTCCCCACCTGCTCGGGGGTCCTGGCTGTCAACCCCACAAACTGCCTCCAGATGCCATTTACGCGCATTAATGAACTTGATCCAGAGACTCACAAATGAAATCTCAGAATGGATTAGCTACCTACAGAGATGTTTCCGGACCCCAATCATTTACAATTTTAGAAAAACAGGAGTGCAAGGCCTCAAAAGCAGCCATGGGAACTCTCATGATATTCATAATAAGCAACAGAAAAAAAATTATTGAGCATCTGCCTGTGGCAAGCAGGCTTAAATGGTAGTGGGAAAATTTGAAATAATGGTGGTGGGAAGGTGTAATGGTAGTGGGACTGATGTTGAAATATTCAATGTCATTAATTAATGTGAACAACCTTATGAAACTAAAATTAAAAAATTTAAAAAAATCTAATCACGAAAAACACCAAACAAACCCAAATTGAAGACTTCCTCTAAAACAAGATGTCTCCAATCAACACTTATCAAAAGTGTCAAGTTTGAGCTGGACCGAGAGTACAGCAGGTAGGGCATTTGCCGGGTAAAAGGTAAAAAGGTAAAGGCCCTCCCGTTGATCGTCGATTTGCTCGAGCGGGCCCAGTAACGTCTCCACTGGAGACTTTTGTTGTTACTGTGTCTGGCATATCGAATACTCTCGGTAGCTTGCCGGGCTCTCCAAGAGGGGCAGAGGAATCGAACTCGGGTCGGCCATGTTGGCCGCGTGTAAGGCAAACGCCCTACCCGCTGTGCTATCGCTCCAGCCCCAGGGCATTTGCCAGACCCAGGTTTAATTCCCAGCATCCCATATGGTCCCCCAAGCACTGCCAGGAGTGACTCTTGAGTGCAGAGCCAGGAGTGAACCCTGAGCATCACCAGGTGTGACCCAAAAAGTGAAAAAAAAAAAAGTGTCTAGGTTGACTTGCTCTTTAAACCCATGTTCAACATGTATCTTGCTAGCTTGTATTTCTTTGCTTGCCTTTTCCAGTCTGAAGACTATGTTCACTCTCAAACATGTAGTTCTCCCTTTCTTCACTTACATCTTTCTAAATAAAGTTTCAAACTGTCAAGGTTATGAAACCCAGAAAGGAGGAACTATCACAAATTAGGAGAGACTAGAATGACAACAAATAAATGTAATGTGAGATCCTGAATTGGGTACTAATTTGCCTTGCACGTGGCCAACTGACCTGGGTTCGATCCCCGGCATCCCATACAGTCCCTCAAGCACTACCAGGAGTGATTCCTGAGCACTGGGTATCACCCAAAAAAGCGAAGGAAGGAAGGAAGGAAGGAAGGAAGGAAGGAAGGAAGGAAGGAAGGAATTTAATTCTAGGGTATAGCAGGTAGGACACTTGCTTTGCATGCAGCTGATCCGGATTTCATCCCCGGAATCCCATATGATCTACCAACTACCACCAGGAGTGATTACAGGGTGCAACTCTGAGTACCACTTGGTATGGCTCAAAAACTGAAAAATAATACTAATAATGAAAAGCAGGCTGGAGCAATAGCACAGCGGTAGGGTATTTGCCTTGCGTGCAGCCGGCCCGACTGAGCTGGGTTCAATTCCTCCGCCCCTCTTGGAGAGCCCGGCAAGCTACCTAGAGTATCTCGCCCGCACAGCAAAGCCTGGCAAGCTACCTGTGATGTATTATTCAATATGCCAAAACACAGTAACAAGTCTCATGATGGAGACATTACTGGACCCGCTTGAGCAAATCAATGAACAACAGGAGAACAGTGCTACAGTGCTACAATAATGAAAAGCAATTCTAATAATATTATCTGTTTCAGGGGGGCAGAGAGATAATACAGCAGGTAGAGCACTTGCCTTGCACTTAGCTGACCAGGTTCAATCCCTGACACCCAATATGGTCCACCAAGCACCACCAGGATTGGAGTGATCACTAAGCACAGAGGCAGAAGTACACCCTGAATACAGCTGGGTATGGCCTAAAAACAATAAAACAAAAAGTGGGGAAGCTAGAGGAAGGGACTCCAGGAAGCAACTGCCAGGCAAGCTTGCGATCACAAATTCAATTCCCAGTGCGACCCATGTGCACCCAAATCCTGAGATCCCTGATACCACAAAAGTGTGTAATCTCTGGCCAACAGTCAGGTGTGTTTAAGCACTACAACTAAAATACAGAACTGCCAACAAGCATTGGAACTAAACGATGAGCAGGCCAGAAATGCCCTCAAGAGCAGCAGCACTAACTGAAAATGACCTCACCAGTGTGACAACAAAGGGAAGGGGACTATACGGAGATAATGTCTCACAGTTTTGTTAATGTGCCTGCCCTGTGGCCTAGCAATTCCACTACTAGGTATTAACCCATGAAGAAAATGAAAAAAGTATGTGCACAATATATGAAAGCGCATGAATGAGTCTCAAAATTACAACTAAGAAAAGTGGAAAGAATGGGTACACATGTATGACTGTGCTTATGTGAAGTTCTCGAAGAGACAAAGCTAATTTCTGCTGAAAAATATCAGAAGAGTGCTTCAAATTTGAGGGGAGAATTAATTGGAAAAGTGTTGGATAACACTGGGTTGACCTTGCACCTCCCATAGGGAGCTTAGATTTATCGAGTTACTTCCACAACAGTGCTCCTAAGGCACACCCAATTCCATCAGGCGCTAATCATCCTATATTGCTTTTCTCTTTCCTTTATGCCACTTGCATAGTTTAGCAACGGCTTTTTCGTATAGACACAGGCAGACAGCTGATGCTATCCTTTATAACATGGGAGTTAACTGACTCCAAAATAATCTTTACTCCTGGGCATCTGTCATTTTTACCTGACTTAAGCCTCAATTGCCCTTACTTCCTAACACCCCCCCACCCAAAGGAAGGTCCCAGCAAGGGACAAGAATGGACCCAGGACAAGCCGTAAGCTACCCATGGAAATGGGACAAGTTAAGTGCCATAAGAAGTATATAATAAGTCTAGAGCACAGTCATGGGACAAACTCTATCATGACCCAAAAAGAAGTAACTGAATAAGACCCTGCTGAGGTTAGGAAAGACTAACCTGGCCTGAGCACTGTAGTCTGGGATATATAGCAAGATGCTCCCAGGAAGAGCCAACCTTTATGCTTAATATATTTGATGATTGTATAATTGAAACCCAAGCACAAAAATTTGTAAGTCTACAACTGTACCTCATGGTGTCTCACTAATAAAAATTAAAATAAATAAATAAATAAATATATATATATATCATGATCACGACCATCCTGCTGTTCGTCGATTTCTTAGAGCAGGCACCAGTAACGTCTCCTTCTTCCTAGCCCTGAGATTTTAAAAGAGCCATTTCAATGCTCTTTCAGGATTAGGAGAATGAGACCCATCATTGTTACTGGTATTTGGCATATTGAGTACGACACAGAGAGTTTGCCAGACTCTGTCGTGCGGGCAGGATACTTTTGGTAGCCTGCCAGGTTCTCCAAAGGAAAAATAAGATAATAAGATGTCGCTTCTTGGCACTTCCAGGAGCTGGGTTTTATAGTCTCTACGTCTTGGCCGTTGATGGGACCAACCTGGCGCTGGTGGCAGCTGGTGGGTGTGGCGCCTACCTACTGGAAGATTGAGGGGGAGGGATCTGGGTGGAGAAGGCCCTGTCCCAATCCGAGTAGGCTTGGAACCTCAGCCCCGGGACCCACATGCCTGGGTTCCTCTGCCAGTTCTTTCATGCATGAGGCCCGTCCGGACGTGTGGAGAGTGGTCCCAGTATGGCCCTGGCTGGCTCCAGAGGTCATCAGCTGCTGGGGCTCTGCTCGGGGGGCGGGGGGGGAGGGGAGACCTCAGCCCCAGGACCCGCATGCCTGCATGCCTGGGTTCCTCTGCCAGTATATATATATATATATATATATATATATATATATATATACACACACACACACACACACACATATATATATATATATTTTACTGTGTCCATACAAAACGACTAGAACTATTAGTAAGAAGTAATTTTCCTTAAAAAAAAAAGTAATTTTACTATGATTGCTTAAATGTATTACTAGCTGAGGAAAGGAGAAAGTAATGCACCCTAGATGGGATCCCATCCTTAAGCGGATTTCCTGGTTATCTAAAGTGCTTGAACCCCCAGAGATGAGATTTTGTCCTTTAGTTAATGTTTCAGAAGAACTTCCCCTGAAGGAGTGGCTTTACCTCTGTTTGTTGTTACGACATCTTATTATGACATCTTATTATCTTATTCCTACTTTGGACAAACTGGCAGGTTACCGAATGTAGCCTGCCCACACGGCAGAGTCTGGCAAACTCCCTGTGGCGTACCCAATATGCCAAATACCAGTAACAATGATGGGTCTCATTCTACTAAAGAGCCTTGAATATAATCTCAGGGCTAGGATGAAGGAGACGTTACTGGGGCCTGCTCGAGGCAATCGACGATTAACAGGATGATTTGTGATTTGTGATTTTGTTGTTATGACAATGTTCAACCCCACCTACGTGTACCCCCACCCTTCATGATTTCTGTATGACTATGCTGTAAGGGAAGGAGCTGGGGGGAGAAGAGATCTAACTATGTGGAAGAAAATACTGACACTGTAATGGGGAAGAGATCTAACTATGGGAGAAATTACTACGCTGTAATGGGGAGGAAAATCATGACACTATCATAGGGGAAGAGGAGAAATAACGATGCTGCTGTAAGGGAGAGAGAGATCTAATGATGCTGGGGAAGAAACAACTATGCTGTAGGAGAAGCAGGAGAATGAAGCTGTAAGGGGGGAGACGGAGAAGAGAGCGAAATAAACCACCAACCAGCCTGGGGCCCTATTTCCCCATTCCCCCATCCTCCTGTCCTCTGTCCGTTTGTAACCGTGGACCAGCCAGGAGAACAGTTCTCGGCCATAAAAACGCACGCATCCCTCGCACCCACGCTCCTTGAAGCTCACAGAAAGGAACACAAGGGATGCGAACACGAACCATTCCTCTGTACCTTGATCAGAGTGATAGCTAATTATTAGGCACATAATTAATTTGTCAAAACCCATCAAACTTTAAATCTTATTATGCCTGTTACTGTATGTGAGTTAGGTGTCAATTCAATAAAAAGTGTTGAAACTCACAACAAGCAGTCATTCAACCATAGAAATTAAATGCCCAGTGTCGGTATAATGAACATAGACACACCAGAACCACCACCAAGGCTTACCTCATGCTGGGAATGGCATGGTAGCCCAGTCGGAAACGGACCTCACTGGCGCCAGCATGGTCTGCAATCACCTTCTCCCCCACGGAGTGCATGTGTTTGAGCAGCTGAAGGTGCTCCCTGCTCACAACCTTCAGACTGGAAATGGACGCCCACGGTAAGACCAGCCAGTGGTACCGAGCCTTGGGGTATTTATCCTTGATCACCACCACCTGCTCGTCTTTGTAAACCTAGCAAAGAAATGCATGTGAGAAGGAAATGAAGATCTACTAGCATCTTCTCTGTGCCAGGTGCTTGCGTATACAGTATGTCACTTAATTCCCACAACAATCTTGAGCAAAGGGTCCTTAATATCTCAATTTGACAGTTAAGAGAGCACAGAGCTTCAGGCAAAATGAGCACCCTGTACATAGTCACAGGGCTATTAAGCGGAAATCTGGGCTGGAATCCCAGGTCCAGCTGAGTCCAGAGTCTGTGTTTTCAATCTCTACACCACACACAAGGCCCAGTGTGAAATAGTTCCTAGGGACCCGATATATCCTCAGGGATATTCTCAAATATCACCCCCTCCCTCTAACAGCAGACCATGACACATGCACATGTGTTCCAAGAAGCCATAATGGATCTGACACTTCTCACTGAGTTGTGATTAGGAACTCAAAGACTCCTCCTCAGAGGATGCCTATTAATCCAACAGGAGTCAAGTAACTCCAGTCACAACATATTGTCTGATGTACCCTTGAAAAGGTACCCTTAAACTAAGTTTAACACAACGTTTCTTAATAATATCTAAAAATGGGGGAGCAGGAGATAGAACAGCAGATGCGGCATTTGCCTGGCACACGTCCAACTCAAGTTCAATCCCCAGTACCCCATATGGTCCCCTGAGCATTGCTAGGAATGATTCCTGAGCACAGAGCCAGGAGTAAGTCCTGAGCACCACTGGGTATAATCCCCACCCCCCCAAAAAAACCCAAAAGTTTAGAAAGAAAAGGATATTCATTTGAAGAACTTACCTCCTCTAAAGAAGAAAAGTTGCTAATTTCCTGGCAATAGAAAATACCCTTTTTTTTCTCACAGAAAAGTAGTCCAATAAAACAAATCTCATTCATTTGTAATCAGGACTAATAGCTAATTTTGTTTGTAATTAGGACTTCTTGGAGGGATTATTTAAAACATAAAATGTATTTACTGTAGGGGGAAGGGATACTGGGGACATTGGTAGTAGAAAATGTATACTGGTAGAGGGATGGGTGTTCGATCATTGTATGACTGAAACTCAAACATGAAAGCTTTGTAAATGTTGCTCTCAGTGATTCAATTTTTAAAAAAATGTATTTACTTTAATGCCAAAATCTTATTCTGACCTGCATTTTTGGGTCCTGCATAGAAACCTTCAAGCCTTGACTCCAGTGGCCCAATGATTCCTAAAATCAAGAAAACAGAGATATCTGAAAGCTTTGTAACTTCTCTCGGTGATTCAATAAAAAAAAAAGAAAGAAAACAGAGATATGATTTGCAAATAATACCAATTTTAGTTTGGCATTAGTAAACAGTATCTATTAGAAAAGTCCAACCAAACTTGGAAGACTAGTTTTTAAGACTTAACTAGATTGGAAGGCAGCTATGCTCACCACTGTACCACCAACGCAGGATTACTTCACTCTTGTCTTTTACAACCATCAGGCAATTCCATTGTGTTGCTATTCAAAGCTGTGTGTCCAGATGAAAGCTGGGTAATCTCATTTGCATAACCCTCTTCATCTACTCAGCCTAAGATTTCACATGATAATCACATGACCTCTGAAAAGTGCTCCTATAGCTCTACAAACACCTGACTCACTCTAGCAGTTCAATAGTAAGCATACTGCCACTATCACCCTACCTTCAAGTGGCTAGCCTCAGGAATTGAAGAGAGAATAATGAGATAGTCAAATGATTTTTCATGTCACAAACAAATGACTCTTTCATCATGGTTTAATAACCCCTTACTGTGTCTGTTTTCGGTAAGCTAAACAATTAAGCAATCATTACATCTCATTTAGCCTTTGGCATCGCCTATTAAGCACATAACCCTCACCTTCTTGGTAGATGCATCATCTTTGCTCTTCTTTGGGGAAACAGAGCATTGGCTAGAGTGGATCCCAGACTCCAGTCTAGTCCCAGGCTCAGGCTCCGGAGCAGCATTACTTTCTAAAGAATCCCTGTTGCCTGACCTCTTTCTCTTCCTGGGTGTCATCGGACCAGAGCTCGTTGACTCTTCCTCAAACTCTATAATATATGGATAAAGCTCATTCACCATGTGGAGAACCTGGCCAGGCTGCAGCTTCACTTCTTGGTCCTTCCCAATTATGACTGAGTCAATGCTGGTGGGATTGACCCCGACCTAGAGAATAAACAAGCAAAAAATAATTATAGTAACAGCAATAAAACCATCAGTAATATAGCCACTGCTCTATGCCGGACACCATGCTTAATGTTCATTTCTATTACTCTGTCACTGCTGCTCGTTAACTGGCACAGACATTCTAAAATCAACAGCACAAGGAGATCAAGTATAAAATGAAAATCCAAGTTACATGCAGACGTACCTGCTTCACCTTGACATAGCCTTTATTACATTCTGCTTTCAATTGTACTGAAAGAGATTAAGAAAAGTTAAACACAAATACCACAAAGAACCAGTCTCCTGCTTCCATTCCCCCTATAAGAAAATGATGCCTCACTTTGGGAAACCACCTGACAGGTGTTCCCTCAAAGGCCTGTGAGCAAAAACCATTTGTCACACAGTGACTGATGCTCCAAATGCATCAATTTCTAAGAGCTCCAAATCCTCCAATAAGGACCGGAGCAATAGTAAAGCGCAAAAGGCGCTTGCCTTTCACACAGCCAACCCGGGTTTGATCCCCAGCACCCAATATGATCCCTGAGCACCACCAGGAGTGATTCCTGAGTGCAGAGCCAGGTGTGGCCCCCAAAACAAACAAACCAAATCCTCCAATCAACTGCCCAGTAGTGCATAGACTCCCTTACCTACTACTAATGTCACTGTGAGGCGGCTTCATAAATTTCCCTATTTCAAAGCAGCTGTTCTACATCTGGTTCAAACTTTGCAGCCAAGGAAGGAAACCCACTGCTCTCACAGCTCTTGGTTGTAGGATTAAATACGGTTTCCACTCTTACATAAAACCATCAGATGCCTTTAACAAAGAAAGAGATAAAATACATTTCTAGGGGCCAAAGCAACAGCACAGCAGGTAGAGCACTGGCCTTGCACCTGGCTGACCCAGGTTCAACCACATCAGGTTCCCAAGAACAGCCAGGAGTGATCTCTGGGTACAACAAGAATAAGATCTGAGCACCATCAGGTGTGGCAAAAAATAATAAAAAATAAAAAAAAAATAAAGGATTCCTGGTTCAGGCCAGTTTTGAGTATAAAGACTAAAGAGAATGTTCAAAAGGAAAAAAAAGAAAAAGAAAGAAAGATGGCAAGAGTCTGTGTGAGAAAAAATATTAAGTACTGAAGTTCAGGTAATCTTCATAATGAATACAGATTAATATAGGGCTGAGGATGAGGTTGAATGGTGAAGCACAGGCCATGGATGTGTGAATCCCCAAATCTAATATCTGACCCTGGAGTCAAGAAACAAAGTTTCTGGTACCATTCAGGAAGCAGAAAAGAGATATCGCTGCTACTCTCTAGGAAAGAAAGACAGAAAACTGGCTGGCAAACAGGTCCCTACAGCTGCTGCCAAAGAGAAAACAATGTCTACTTCTGCTTCCTGCTCAAGCAGGGCTTTTCCACTGTGCAGATTAAGGGCTGGGAATGCAGCTCAATGTAAGGCCCTGGGTTCATTCCCTAGAACTACAAAAAAGTAAAGGGGGTAAGTCACTTAGAGTCAATCACATGAAGGGAAATCTTTTTTTTTTCTTTTTTTCTTTTTGGGTCACACCCAGCTATGTACAGGGGCTATTCCTGGCTCATGCACTCAGGAATTACTCCTGGCAGTGCTAGGAGAACCATATGGGATGCTGGGAATAGAACCCAGGTCAGTCATACGCAAGGTAAATGTCCTACCCGTTGTGCTATCACTCCAGTCCCCCTGGAAATCTTAATCAGTGCTACAGACTCCAGTTCTTGAAAAGGGTTGGCAGTAATGGGAGTATGGGAAGCTTGAGCAGTAAAGAGCATGCCTGAAGTTTACAAGAGAGAAAGAGAGGTACTTGATACAGCTTTTTTTCTGAGGAATTTCATTCCATTAAATCTCAGGAAAGACATTCCAATGGCAGGATGCCAGAGCCTTCTAAAGTAAGGCAATATTGGGGCTGGAGCGATAGCACAGCAGTAGGGCGATTACCTTGCATGCGGCTCACCCAAGTTCGATTCCCAGCATCTCATAAGGTCACCCTGAGCACCGCCAGGAGTGCATGAGCCAGGAGTAACCCCTGTGCATCGCTGGATATGACCCAAAATAAATAAATAATAAAGAAAGGCAATATGTGAAGGATGGGGTCATCCCATCACTTCTCAAAGTATTCTGCCTGCCTGGAGATTTCCAGAATTCTGTGGTCTTGCCACCCATCAAGAAATATCCCTGAGGGAATGCCCTGCCATAGAGGCAGGGGGGATGGGGGGGATGGGGGGTGGGAGGGATACTGGGATCCGTGGTGGTGGGAAATGGGCACTGGTGGAGGGATGGGTATTTGATCATTGTATAATTGAAACCCAAGCACAAAAATTTGTAAGTCTATAACTGTACCTCATGGTGGCTCACTAATAAAAATTTATTAAAAAAAAAAAATCCCTGAGAAAGAGACCTGGATTTAGTCTCACCAGTCCACAGTAGCAGAGTAGAATCTGTCTACTCTCTACATACAATCTACCCTGCCTTAGATATTACCGATTTCAGAGGGTGGAACCAGGAGTGAAGAGGGCCGTGAGTGGTGCTGACTAAAAGTCCTGCTTGTGGCTGACTGAAACCAAAAGGTTTCCATGAAAAATTCGTACGCTTTTGGTCATCACGATCCTAAGGAACCAGTTTGTGGTGCTCTACATTCCTGTGAGCAGTTACCTTGTTGGCGGGAACATTTCTTGTCTGTGATCTTGGTCTCGGGGCTGCGCCCAAGCACAATCACTTCCAGATGTGGAAGCTTGATTCGTTGGTGCCGATTGTCCTGCCTCACCAACCAGCACGCCCGCATCATTACTCTGCAAGAAGACATGATGGGGTCACTGGAAACGCTGGCACTAGGGAGTCACACCCAGGAACTGCCACCAGCCATTTTGCCAGCTGTTCATCTTAAGGTAAGTGACTTCTCCCTAGTCTCAATTTCCCCACCGTAAAATGTCATAATGACAGGACTCATGAGGCTGCTGTGAGGATTAAATGAGATAATGTGGGTTTACTGCTATCTATCTGAATCATGTTAGAAAATCAAATATTTTGTTAAGACTACTGACAGATTCCATGCACTGGACATTGCACTACAAGCTGAGGATCAAAGAATGATTAACACCGTGCCCATCCTTCAAGGACCTGGAAGGGCAGTGAAGCAGACAAACTCATGTATCAGACATTACCAAAGAATATGATTAAGACTGTGAGAAGAGGCTAGTGAAATGTGGCATTAGCTCAGAAAAAGAACAGCTCTGGTGGGGAGTATTTAAAAAGGTTTTTTGGGTTTGTTTTTTTTTTTTTTGGCTTTTTTAGGTCACACCCAATGATGCTCAGGAATTACTCCTGGTGGTGCACAGGGAACCATATGGGATAGCAGAGATAAAACCTGGGTCAGTTGTGTGCAAGGCACTACCCACAGTGCTATTGCTCTGGCCCCTAAGAAATATCTTTACGGGACAGAGAAATAGCAAAAGAGTTTAAAACATCGCCTCCCTTGCAAGTACATGGTGAGGAATCCACATTCCCAAGTATTCCACGGGCACAACCCTGGCAGCTGTACTACTGCAAGCACTACAACGAAGAGGTGCAAATACTGCAGCCAAAACATGATTTCCTCACTGGTCTGGCACATGGTTGACTCTGGTTCAAAATTCCAGCACCACATATGGTCCCCTGAGCCCTGCCGGGAATGCCCTGAGCACAGAGCCAGGGGTAAGATGTGAGTACCACCAGGTGTGGTCCCAAAAAAGATTAAAAAAAAAAAAGGCAGTGAAACTTGTGTGGAGTGTGTATGTGAAACCAACAACAACCTCTGGCAAACACAACCACTGCCTGTGTGGGCAGAAAGCATATATACAAACACCACAGCTACAGGAGTGCAAACTTTCCTAAGCATCACCGTCAAGAGTGCAAACACTACAACCTAATGTGTAACCACACCCCAGCCAGCGGGGCGGGGAGGAAGGAGGGGGGCTTAAGGCCACTTGTGTGGCTGACAGAAGCCAGCACCCTCCAGGTGACTGTCATCTCCTGGTGGCTGTGATCTCTGACTTCCTTCCTTCTCAGCATACTTCACACGGCCCCTGCGCCTGCAGGTAGCCACAGGCAGCCCACCGTGGGCAGTGCTGCCATGTCCTGAGCCGTGACTCCAGCCCCTGCCCAAGCGATCCTGCATCCTCCACGCGTGCATTGCCGGGTCGGGTGGGATGGGGTTGGAAGCTAATCAAAGGCGGCGGGGATAGGGACTCAAAACGTTAGGGCCACACTGTAACAACCCCAAAACCTTAAAAAAATTTTTTTAAAAAGCAATTAAGATCAAACCTAATGATCTGTATATAATTTATCATTTTATAATTTACAATTATAAATCATAATTATCGACTCATGTAAGGCAGGCAGTGCTGACTGGCACCGGGTCGAAAGGGCACAGAGGCACTTGTGGCCTTCTGGCAGACTGGCCACCAGCCGTCCAGCCGGGCGTGAAGCCCACCCGGCGCGGGGCCTTCCTGGGCTGCATCCGAGACTGTAGGGGATGGAGAGGGGGTGGTCTCCGGCTGGAGGGCTCCCACTGGGAGCCCACAGGAGCGCGCCCGGCCGGCTGCCGGCTCTCCCCGCCCCCTTCCCTTCCTCCCGGCCCCGGGCGCAGCCCGCAGGGGACTGGGAGGCGGGGACCGGGGGGCACGTGCACGGCGCCGGCGGGCGGCCGGGCGGAAGGGGCCGGCCGGAAGCCCGGCGCTCGGCCTGCCGGGAAGGAGGGCGTGCGTCAGCGGCGGGGCCGAGGCCCAGCGCTCGGGCCGCGGAGGAGGCCTTCCCGCCGCCGCCGCCTTACCTCGGATGCCCAGGCTCCCCGCCACGCTGCCGGCTCCGCCGCGGCCGGCGCCTGGGAGTGACGTCACGGGGCGTGTCGGCGCCTTGGAGTGACGTCACCGCGCGTGCCCTCGCGCTCCGGGCAGCCGCGCCCCTTTCACAGCATCGCACGCCCCCAGCTGGGAGGCTCGGCTGGCAGGCAGTCTTAGGGCCGTTTCGGTGCGCCCTGCGGCGTCCTGGTGCTTCCCGGATCCGCCGCAGATTGTCCCTGCGATTGCATTGCCCGGCCACCCCCTCCTTCTCATTTATTCGGGGGTGGGAGGCGGATTAGGCCACACCCGGCCGGGCTCAGGCCTCACTCCGCGTGCCTGTGCAATTCAGGGATCACTCCTGGCGGGACTCGGGGGACTTATATGGGGTGTTGGGGATCGAGGTCAGCCGCGAGCAAGGCAGCCCCCCTCCCCCCCGCCCTGCAGTACTATGTCTCCCCTCTCCCTTTCAGTTTACTGCAGTCTACTCTTGCTTTTTTTTTCTTCCGGGGAGAAAAACAGGATTAGAGGCAGGGAAAAAATACACTGCATTAGGAGCAGGAGGTTGGGATGAGTCGTTTGAAATCTTATAATGACTTATAAATCATTCCAGAATGTTCCCTAAAAGTGGTGTTGCAATTATGCAAAGGCAGATGGAAGAATCCTATTTTAGGGATTAAGACTTGGTTGATCAACCTGATTTCTCAAACTCGATAGAAACTGGGTTTTAAACAGATTTCTTCATTAAGATGAGGCTATTGTTTCCTCCCAAAGAAAAGCAAAAACTCCACTGAGTGATGGAAATGCCAGCTAAAACGAAAGTTGGGTAAATTTGCAGGGAACCTCAGAGAGGGTTGTCTTGCTAGCACAGAAGATGCGGGTTTGTATGTAGGTCACAACAGGAAGTGGGGAACAGGAAGCATCTCCAGGCACTTGAGGACCCGTAGCCAATGGTGTGCGGTTTCCCTGCTTGAGGTGGGAAGGACACGCTGTTGTTTCTTAGCTCAGAATTATCCTTCTGCTCGCTTTAGTGAGTCTATTTAAAACAGATCTGGATTATTCAAGTATGTCAAATAGGTCTTTTCACCCTCCGCTTGTTCCTTCCAGCCCTTTGTCTCAGAGAATGCCTTGGTCAGAGAAGTAGGATGACTTAGCATGGAGCAAGTTAAGAGAATTATGGCAGGCCCGTAAGACTTTCCAGCCTCCAAATGTTTGCTCACAGATATACAGTAATAATATAATGGTCTGTGATATCACCAAAGTGATAGCTAAAAAGGCACTTTGTTGGACCTCACCACAGATTTAAGATGCACCAGAAAAGGGGAGTACGGGGGTAAAGCCAGCAATCTTTTTTCTTTTAGTTGAATCGGGTGAGATAGTTATAAACATGTTTATGAGTTTCAGTCATATAGTGTTCCAACACCCATCTCTCCACCAGATTTCCCATCACTGATGCCCCCAGTTTCCCTCCTTCCCTTCCCCTAACCAAAAGCCTGCCTCTAGCAGATATTTTTCTACTTTTCTACCCAGCCCACTCTCCCTCCTTTTAGGCACCATGGTTTGCAGTACTATAACTGGAAGGTTATCATACATGTCACCTTACCTCCTTTCAGCACTCAGTTCTTGTCAAGAGTGATCATTTCCAATTATCATTGTCATAGTGGGCCCTTCTCTGTCCTAACTGCACTCCCCACCCCATCCCCCACCCCTTGTGGCACCTTCCTACCTCTGAATAGTCCTCCCGGCCCTTGTTTCTGTTATGTGTGGGTATTACTCTCATCTTTGTTTGTTTGTTTGGCTTTTTGGGTCACAGGGATGCTCAGGGGTTACTCCTGGCTCTGCACTTAGGAATCACTCCTGGCAGTGATTGGGATGCTGGAGATCAAATCTGGGTCGGCTGTGTGCAGGGCAAACACCCAACCCACTGTATTATCGCTCTAGCTCCCTATTCTCATGGGTTTTTTTTTTTTTGTATCCTACAAATGAGTACAATCATTCTATATCTGTCCCTCTCCCTCTGACTCATTTTACTCATGATACATGCCCATTCATATATAATCAAAGGGCTAGGACAAAGGAGACATTACTGGGGCCTGCTGGAGGCAATCAATAAACAACAGGATGACAGTGATGTAGTGATACATTTTTCCTAATGGCTGTATAGTATTCCATTGTATAGATTTACTATAGTTTCTTTATCCAATCATCTGTTCTTGGGACACTTGGGTTGTTTTTCAGATTCTAGCTATTGCAAATAGTGCTGCAATGACCATAGGAGTGCAGATGCCTTTTCTTTTTGTGTGTTTTAGGTCACCAGTGTATATTCCCAGGAATGGTATTGCTGGACTGAATGAAAACTCAAGTTCTAGTTTTTTGAGAAGTGTTCATATTGTTTTCCAAAAAGGCTGGACCAATAGGCATTCCTACCAGCAATGAGTCCCTCTCTCCATTCATTCATGCCAGCACTGGTGGTTCTTGTTCTTTATGATGGGTGCCAGTCTCTGGAATGAGATGACATCTCATTGTTTTTATTTGTACTTCCCTGAGATGATTAGTGATGTAGAGCATTTTTCAAGTGCCTTTTTGTTGCGGGGGGAGGGGGGAGACACACACTTGGAGGTGCTCATGGGCAACACCCAGCTCTGTTCTGGAGTCACTTCTGGCTGTACTCCAGGGACCATGCACGTTGGAGATGAACACAGGACACCTTCATGCTAAGCAGTCACTCAGCACTTAGGCCTATCTCTCTGTCCCCCAGCAATATTTTGGAGTCAGGGAGGGGTGTAGGCCATACCTAGCAGTGCTTAAGACTTACTCCTTGCTCTTCACTCATGGATCATTCCTGGTGGGGCTCTGGGGGCTATATGGAGTGCCGGGTATCAAACCCAGGTCAGCCTATGCAAGGCAAGCATCTTACTGTATTATCCAGTCCTTCCCTGGCAATCTTTTAGTAAACATCAAGGCTGTTCTG